ACTCATTCTAAACTTTGGGTCACACATGGGCACAAAGAGATAAACAAGGGCATTGGAAACCAAGAAGAGAGAAAATGGAAAGGGTGGTGTGGGATTAAAACTTACCTGTGGGGTACAGTGAACACTTTTCTGGTGATGGACATACCGAAAGCCTGGACTTACTCATTATACAGAGTATCCATTTAATAAAACATTTGTACCCCTTTAATATTTTTAAATAAAAAATAAATAGATCCTATGATTATATAGGTACTTGAATTTAGTGTTCGTACAGCAGGATAATTGCTGGAGGAATCTATTCGGCCAGCTTTTTCTGCCCCCCTTCCCAATATGTAAAGTTTTATACATAGCAATGAGAAAGGACCCATTGTCATATCCTTGAAGTAACAACTTTAGCCTTTGTTGCCTTATTAGTAAGAAGAGATATGCACAAAGAAAACGATCAAATGTATCATCAAAGGGCACTCAACCCAAGTTTTGAATCCCCCTGTATGTAAATTGCCAAGTATATAAAGCCTTCCCAGTCCCATCCATATGAAGAAGCTATTCCTTCACACGCCAGATACTCTGCTCATATCCACTGTTGCTTCTTCCAGGGCTCAAGTTATATGAAATCAAGAAGGGGGAGTGCCCTTTAAGCTGGAGACCATCGCTGGGTACTTGCTGTACTCCTCTGGTTCTCACTAATTCTTATTAAATTTCAACTTCGGTGAACACAAACTGTGGCTACTCCACCTTCTTTCACCTTCACGTCTCTGTTTTTTACTACTCATGGGTCAGTTTAGTTACTTCTACCTCAAGGAGACCACAGTCTTTCAAATGTAGATGTACCCACTTTTGGCCTGTTCTGTTTCTCCTTTTTCTTCTAACTCTTGCCAAGTTACCTCAGGGAAGGAAGGCCAGCACTCTCATGTTTCCTGTCTCTTCAAACAAAGAATCTCTGTCAACCCAGAGAACCCAAGGTTCTCATCCCAGTAATGCTGCTGATCCTCCTGTAAGGGAGAAAGGAAAGGTACTACATTTAAATGTGAAGAAAGCGGTGGTGTTTAATCAGCGACATCAGCCCCTGAAGCTTCTGAAAATGCACAGAAGCTCATTTCTGAATTTTCATTAAAAAAAATATATTTCTTTAGAATATTCTAAGAGCTTCCTTCAAAATGCCTGTTTGAGGTAAAATGTGTAAATATCAAATTTTGATGGGAAAAAACAAAAAATAAAAAGTAATGAAATACCAAATTTTATTTCTTGCTGATTGCAAAAAGCATTTTCTTTTCTGTTTTTCTTTGCAAATGCAACTGACTTAAGCAACAGAATTGACAGAACATTCTGAGTTTCTTACAAATTTTCAACTGTAATGCGGGTGTAAATATAAATATTAAACGAGGATGTCTCATGGAAGGTACAGTTCCGAATGAACAGAATACATAACACCTATTGTAGTTTGATTGAAAGGAGAGAGATGGGAGGTAATAGGGAGACAGACAATTATCATCTTGGGAAAACTCTTTTGCAAAGGATATAGAACTTGAGCTGGAATTTAAATAATAAACATTGTCCTGACAGAGGAGGGGTTGAAAGGGTATCTTAAATTGGGGGGAAAAAGACTATGAGCAAAGGTCTGTTGATTGAAACAGAGACTTCTTAATCAGGATAAAGAATCTCTGTCAACCTGAAGGTTCTCATCCCAATAGTGCTGCTGATCCTCCTGTAAAGGAGAAAGGAAAGGTACTAAGTGTCACTAAAGGTATTTAGTGTCCTCAGAAACCTAGGATAAATGACATTTAGTACTCTGAAAATTAAGACTCCTCGACAAACAAGGATTGGGCCAATTTGTAGGTGTTTTTAAATGTCATATTAAGGAGTTCAGTGGATTTTTTTCATAGATAATGGAGAGCTACTGAAAACGTAAAGGACTGTAATGAATCTCACAAAGTCGTCTTTAAAAATTGCCCTTCCTGGTGACATTAGAGAAACTGGAAGGCAAAGAGAGTAGGACACTGTTTATGACCACATGCTTGTGAGGTGCCAGGGTCCTGGAATGACCTGCTGGGAAGGTCAAACGAGGGGAACAATGACAAATATTTCCAATGCAACGTGGCCAAGTCTGATGTGATAAAAGAGGTGAGGAAAGACACTGAGTCAGATGACAGTGAGGTGTCAGCCTGGGTACCTGGAGAATGAAGACAAAATCTGATAGCCGGGACAGGGAGGTCAGAAGGGAAAATCATTTGGGCGGATGGAGAGACAAAAGAGATAAGTACATGGGTTTGGGACTGAAATTTAATATGAGCCACGTAAGCCACTTTTAAACAGTAGAAATATGTAAGTGAAATTATGTTTAAAAATGCTTCAAATGGTGCATTTACCCCAGTATATTCAAAGTATTATCATTTTGACATATCAAAAAAGTATTATTAAGACACTTTATATATGTTTTTCCATACTCCTTGAAATCTGGTGTATCTTTTACATTTACAGCACACCCCAATTTAAATTCTAGGTGCCCAGTTGCTGCTGTGGTTGGTGGCTACCGTAATGGATAGCACTTTAGTAGACAGTTTAATAGAAGCTGACAAAGATCATTTAGCACATTTCTTAATTCAGCTGGTGCTAAGACTCACTGCATTTTAGAAATTGTCTTTCTGCTGTACATCCTTTCTCCCTTTTTATTCCTTTTGTTTTATTTAGCGATTTCAGATTTCAGATGTTCTTTTAGCAGAACATTGTTCTTTCCCCAAAGCATGGAGATTTTATATTCATGATATACTGGTTCATTGCTTGGAGTTGCTACTGACTTATTTAATTCTTTGTTTGACTTGCAACTTTAATTAAACCAATAAGTCTGAATATTTTTTTCTTCTTCTTTTGTCAGCCTTAAAATTGTATTATAAAATAATTTAGTGTCCTCAGAAACCTAGGATAAATGACATTTAGTACTCTGAAAATTAAGACTCCATTTTTCGTGTTCCCCAGTCTGTTTATATGTGTACTCCTTCCGTGTTTAGTATCTGATGTAAACTTGCTGGATTTTGTGTGTGCGTGTGTGTGTGTGTGTTCACTATACACTGCTAAAGAATGCAGTACAAAAGGGAGCCTACTTCTATAGAAAACAAGCCAAGGACATTGTGTTCCATCTTTACAATGAAATGCAGATTTCCCATTAAAAGGCAAATCCGTCATTTCAAAAGATTGAATAGGATGGTGCATTAAAAAAATCCAGCTGCTTAAATTTAGGGCATTGAAAGAAGTCCAATAAAAAAAAAATGTTCCCTGGGTTTCAAGCATTTTCATTTGATTATGTATTGGATAGATTTTCATCCAATCTAGAATTCTGCCTCTTAGAACTCTGTCCTAAAATAGTTTGACAAGTGTTTTTAGCACGTCGGTCTCAACCATGAACTTCATTTACTTAAATTATGGATTTGCTATTTAGAATTATCCTTGGGTTTGCTAATATATTATTAACTTCTTATAAGAAATATTGGGATATTCTTACAGTGCTTTGCTTTTTCATGTTTATTTTTAGGCCTCTCCCTCTTCCATTTAGATTCTCTTATGTTTTTTGTCTTTGAAGACGTTGTCTACCAGAGCGGCCATTTTGTTCTTCAGCACCTTTAGTCCTCTGCTGCCTGCTGCCTTATTTTTGTGGCCAGACTGCCACCTTTTTGCTGTTCATCTGCTCTGCCCAACTTTCTTTTTCCAATAGAGTAAGGAATAAGAAGTGGCAAAACCAGTGATATTCTAGTCTTCCTATTAAAAAGAATATTCTATTCCTTTTGCTATTCTAATGTGCTCAGCCCAACTTTTTTCCCAACCAATTTAGAAGTAAGAAGTGGCAAAGCCAGAGATGTTCCCTGCAGTGACACCCACAAACCAGCTGGGGAGCTCAGAGGAGCTCTGATGCTTCTGAGCCTAGCCACCAATTCTCGAGGAAGTGAGCTATATACTGTAGGAACAAAAATGTCTATGTCAACACGTTTGTATGGGACGTGTGTTTTTCATGGGCATTAGTCATTATTAAAAGTTACAGCTGGCTCCCTGCTCTCTTCCTCTGAGGTCTAGTCCTGCTTTCTCGGGAATAGCACAAGAGGTGCAGCCTGGGACCTTACAGAGGACTGCTGTGAGCAAGGGCTATGCTACCTACCATGCCCCTGGTAATAGGTATTTACTAGATTTCTTAAGCTGAGTATTTGGCTCTCTCCTATTATACTGGTTGTTAGGCATTTATACATACAATAATATTGCCCCTGGGCCAGCCCCTAAAAGTAAATGTTTCCATAATTCTTGGCATCCAATGTATTTTACTGACGTTACTTTGGTCCCATTTGCAGACTTTACCTCCCCAATACCCATATTCTTCCTAAAGAGTTGTTAATTTTAACAAAGAATTTGTTCTAGTTAATAACAGTTCACTTCTAATAAGTTCTTTTTTTTCCCAAAGAGATCAACAATCTTGGGATATTTTATTGGGACCTATATTTTATTCTAGACCCAAATGAGGGAAGTATTTTCTGTGCTTTATGGCAGTTTATGGGGGGTATTTCATACGAGGGTCCTTGTGCTTCCACTCCCCTGCCAACACTGGCTATCAAAACTGCTTAGGCTGCAAATAAAACATGAAATGAAATCCATCTGGCATTTCTCATTGAATTAGGACCAGAACATTTTTGTTAAATATTAACAGATGGCTAAATTCTTAATATCAAACTAACATTTAAAAACATCTGAGGGGACCCACATGAGGGGGAAAGGGTAGAGGCCCGCATGTTTTCTCCATCTTGGAGCCTTTCCTGTAAACATCCCCCCATAATTTTTCTGACCCAAGAGTTAGGAATCACTGGAGTTTCCCATCTTAGATAACTTATTCTTTGGTAACTGGTATCAAAATAGTGTTTGATCGTAGCAGGATAGGATACTCAAGTGTTAGCTAACTCAAGTGCTGTGGTGCCCTGGCAAGCTTCAAGATCTTTTATTAAAGTTAATTCTCTCTCTCTCCCCAGGAAAAAGAAAAGAAGTACATGCTTCCCTTGGACAACTTGAAAGTTCGAGATGTGGAAAAGAGCTTTATGTCTAGCAAGCACATTTTTGCACTCTTTAATACAGAGCAAAGGTAAGAAAATGAAGCAAAGTCTGTCTTCAGAATTTTTTCCCCTGGAAGTTCTACATGATCCAGGGAGCATATGTAGAAATAGTTCCATTGGTCGCGCCTTGAAATTTGTCAGCTCTTCAGTTTTTCTTTCATTTATTTTATGTTTTGAACTTCTGCCAGGGATGTGGCTTTACAAAATTAAAACGTAGAGTAAAAAAGATCTTCAAGTATGAATTAGTTTATTTTTTGCTTTCCCAATAGGCCCCAAAGCCATTCTTCATCTATCCTGAAAGCTACATTTTATAAAGTCTTTCTTATCCTGATATATCATTTAGATACCTATAAGTTACTCCTTGATAATTTTTAATAGTATCAAACATGGATAAATATCTCTTAAGGTCTTCTTAAGATCTATATATTATAACTAACTTCAATGAATAGAATTATTCCATTAACATAATAAGATGAGAGTACTTTGCTGTTTCTCAAAGCACTGTTCACATTCATTGCCATTGGTTTTTGTAATAATTGCCCCTGAGTTTAAAAGGAAAGAATTACAAATTAGAAAGGGTAGGCTCAGAGACATTAACGGATTTTCTTAAGGTCATAAAACTAGTAGATGGGGGAGCTGGAACTTGTATGAGGACTTTGTCTAAGTCCACTTTTCTTTCCACTCATGTTCCTTCATGTGTGTTCTTTTTATTTTTTTGGGTGGGGGGCATGTGTGCTGATCATCATAGAGTGTCCTGATTGTTCATTGAAACTAAGCAGAGAAGTTAAATAATGTAACTTATTCAATGGCAATGTAAACAGAAGTTAAATAATGTAATTTATCCAATGGCAATGTAAACAGAAAACAGCTGGAGAAATGTAAAAGGACTATAACTAGACAAGGATAATGGAGATTCTTTTTTTCCAAATGGAAATATTACATGAAAAAGCTAATTAATTTGTGTGAGTCAGTTATTAAGAGAGTGAGTCATTAGGTGGCAGGGTCTAATTTTAACCCATTTTTCCAGGCTGCCTTTTATCTTTATTTAGCATTGAATGAAGTTACTTGATTAGGTTCAATGACTGGCCCAGGGTCAATCACACAGTAAATTAAAATAGCAAAAGAAGAAGTCTTCTTCCTACATTCCCAGTCGGTTGCTCAGAGTGACTCATGATACGAAAATACTTAGAAAAACCACAAGAGGAAGGCATTTAAACAGTCAAGGGGAAAGAAAAGTAAATACAACTTCCCTACCAAATACTAAAATGGGATTTATTTTTTAAGACTTAGTATTACTTGAGAGTGGCGTATGAAAACTCCCCGAAGATGATAAAGAATAAAATGCTTTCCTAGAGGGAGCAGTAGTGAGACTGCCGCACTAGAGCCAAGGTCAGTGCTAGTTTGCACGCCTTCATCAGAGCAGTGAGAACCCAGAGATCCTAGAGGGATCGCCAGAGGTGTGCTCCGCCTGGATGCTGAGTGGGACAGGTGACTACCAACCAGGAAGTCAGACGAACTTGAATCCTCTGTCAACCTGGCAAGTTCAGGTTATAAAAGAGCTGGGAACAAATTAAAAATAAGGCAAATGGTAGAGGATCTTTTTAGGTAAAATACAACTGTGGATTTTAAAAAGAGCAAAAGTCACCAAAGTTAAGAAAACTCAGGATTTTAAAAATCTAGGTAGGTTGGAATTCCGGAGTTCTAAAAGGTACTAAACTCTTCCACCACTTCTCAGAGACCTCTGTGAGTACATGGATGTCCCCAAAGGCACATTTGCCATTGCCTTTTCCTTTGAGATCTCGATTTCTTTAAATTATATTTGTTCTGGCTAAGACTTCCAGTACAATGTTAACTACAATCAGGCATTCTTGTCTCGTTTCTGATTTTAAGGAGAGCTATTTAAAATTTTTTTACAGTTAAGTCCTTTTGGATAACTACCTGCTATCGGGTAAAGAAGATGCCTTGTATTCCTAGATACTAAAGGTTGAGTTTTCATTTTTAAATCATAGGTGGGAGTTGAATTTTATCAACACCCCCATCTGGAAGATTATATGATTTTTCTTTTCTAATCTGTTCAGGGGGTGAAATATATTGATAAGACTTTCTAATGTTAAACCATCCTTGATCTCTTGGGATCATATCTAGTTAGGTGATGATGTGTTATATTATGTAAACAAATAAATAATATAAATTTCTTATGCATTCCTGGATAAAGTCTGCTAACATTGCAGCAAATGGTAAAATGAGCAAGATTGGCCCAGGAATGTTCTTTTTGATACTGTCTCTACTGGTTCTAATATCTATCTTCTGTTAGTCTCACAAACTGAAATGGGGATAAGTCCTCACTGTTCTTTGGAACACATTTTTAAAGATAAAGAATTAACTATTAACTGACTATGGGAAGTCACTTGTAAAATCATCTGGCCCTAGAACATTTACCATATTTTTGGTAAATATACTTTGACTAATGATTTAATGTATGTATTTTGTTTAGGTTTTGTATTTTTTCCTTGGGTCAGTTTAGGTAAATTATATTTTTTTATAGAAAATTGTCCATTCTGTTTGCTTTTAAATATATTAGCAGCCAATATTTCTTAAAATTTGATGTTTTCACATTTCTGCTGTATCTGAAATTTGGCCATTTCTTATTTCTACTATAAAGGCGTATCTTTTCTGTCATGATCCCTCTTGCCGGAGTTTTGTCTATTTTCAGAGAACCAGCTTTGTACCTTTCAGCTCTTGTGATCCTCTATTGTGTATACTTTTTCTATTTCAATAATTTCTATTCTCTTATATATTATTTCCTTTCTCGTATATTCTTTGTGTTTACTTTTTAGTATTTTTATGATAACTTCTTAGTTCAGATATGTAGCTCAATTTTTCCCCTTTCTTTTCTTAGATATGCATAGGAGTCTATAGATGTCCTTCTAGGTAGCCTTGAGCCTCTTACTACAAATTTTGAAATGCAGTACTTTTATTACTACTCAGCTCTGTTTCCTAGTCTTTGTTGTGGCTTTTTCTTTGAGTTATTTAGAACCGTGTCTCACATTTTATAGTGCATGGAATTTTATTGTTTTGTCATTGTTAATTTCTAATTTCATTGTATTATAGTCAGAGAATGTGGTTGGTCTAGTATATGATAAATTCTCATAAATATTTCAGGTATATTTGAGAAGAATGTACGTTGACTGATCTTGGAGTGCAGGTTCTGTGAGACTGGATTTGTTTATTAATTATATTATCCGATCTCTATACTTAATATCTCTTTTATCCTGGATAATTCAAACACTCAACAAGTATTTCTAGGGAGCTGTTATGTGTCAGGCCCTGTTTTGTGCTTAAAATACATCTATGAATAAAATAGACAAAAAAGTTTAAATATTTTAGATTATATAAAGGGGGATAGGAGGGAGACAAAAAGAGTCATGAAGAATCTTACTTCATCAGAAGGGCATTAAAATCTCACTTTGTGATTGTGAACTTGACTATTCTAGTATGTCTGTCAATTTTTGCTTTGAGGCCCTTCTATATTAATAGATTAATTCAAATTTAGAATTGTTTTCTCTTACTGGTAACTTAAAAAATAATAACTTAGGGACAACCCTCTTTATTCCCTTTAATACACTTTGCCTTAAAATTCAGTTTGTTACTATAGCTACACTAACATTTTTGGCTAATAATTTCTAAATTTTTTATTGATACATGATTTTTGTACATATTTACAGGGTACATATGATGTTTTGTTACATGCATACTGTGGATAATAATCAATTCAGGGTATTAAGAGTATCAACCACTTCTGTTGATTTTCAAGTCCTCAGTTAAAGCTATTTTGAAATGTACAATACATTGCTGTTAACTATATTCACTCTACTACTGAACATGAGAACTAAGTCCATCTATGTAACTATGTGCCTATTAACCAACCTCCCTTTATTGCCCATCGCACACCAACATCCTACCCAGCCTCTGGTAACTACCATTCTGCTCTCTGCCTTCGTGAGATCAAGTTTTGTAGCCCCAACATATGAGTGAGAACATGTGATATTTGTTTTTCTAGGCCTGGCTTATTTCATGTAAGATAATGAAAGACCTCCAGTTCTTTCGTTGCTGCAAATGATATGATTCCACTGTTTTTTATGGCTGAATAGTATTCCACTGGGTATACTATATGCAACATTTTTTTTTATCCCTTCCTCTGCTGAAGGATACTGATGTTGATTCCATATCTTGGGTATTGTGGATAGTCCTACAGTAAACCTGGAGGTGCATGTTTCACTTTGATACACTGATTTCCTTTCCTATGGATAAATATCCAGTAGTTGGATAAATGCCCAGTAGTGAGATTAGAGTACTGGATCCTATACTATTCTACTTTTAGTATTTTGAGAAATCCATATGCTGTTTTCTATAATAGGCTAATTTACATCCTACCAATGGTATATGATAAATTTCCTTATCCTCACTGGCATCTGGGATATTTTTGTCTTTTTAGTAACAGCCATTCTAACTAGAGTGACATGATATCTCACTGAGGTTTTGATTTGATTTCCATGATAATTAGTGACACTAAGCTTTTCAAAGTATTCTTCTTGACCATTTGTATGTCCTTTTTTGAGAAATGTCTATTTAAGGTCATTTTCCCACTTCTTAATGGGATTTTGTTTTCTTTGTTGTTGATTTGAGTTCCTTATATATTCTAGATATTATTCCTTTGTCAGATAAATATTTTGCAAATATTTTTCCCATTCTTCATTCTGTTGGTTGTTTCCTTTGCTGTGCAAAAGCCTTCAGTTTAATGTAGTCCCATTTGTCTATTTTTGGCTTTGTTGCTTATGCTTTTTGGGCCTTAGCCATAAAGTCCTTGTCTAAACCAATGTCCTAAGGTGTTTTAACTATGTTTTCTTTTAGTATATTTAAAGTTTTATTATTATTATTATTTTTAGAGACAGAATCTCACTTTTTTTTTAGAGACAGAACTGCCCACAATAGAGTGCTGTAGTGTCACAGCTCACAGCAACCTCCAGTT